AATATTTAATAAAATAATCAAAATAACTATGTTTAAATCTTACTAACTTAATAAATAATTTAAAACATTAATAAAAAATTTTGAAATGTGGTCAATTTAACCATAAAAATGTTCATCGCCATTGAATATATCATATGCAGTGATAATACTGTAAAAATTTAAATAATATACTTATAAAAAAATTGGTGGTCGGGTGCAATTCAGAATTATAAATTTCACCTTAGAAATATATATGTACATTAATAAATTATTCAATTTTTAAAAATATATACTTTTCTTATATACTATTATATAAATGAAATATGTTAATAAAATAGCAATGCATAATAATTTAAATTATAGCACGTGGTAATTGTGGATATAATATATCTAAATATCCGAATAGATAATATGTAACTCTTTATAGAGGGTGAAAAAATAAATAAAATAAATAAATATGAATAAAAAAATCAAAACATAAAAATAAAATATTTAACCATAAAAACTTTACGTGTTGGTCAATAATTAAGCAACGTGCAAATTATGAACTGTTGAAAAAATTATAAGACTATGATAAACGACAATTTTGTAAGTTGCAACTTGCAAGTAATTTGTATGAAAATATCACATGATTTTATACATTTATAATATTTTATAAACTTATAAATAATAAAATTTATATATTAAATAGTCCAAACTACAAAAAAAAATATAAAAATAGAAATTAAGAACAATAAGAAATAAGTAAATGTCATGTTATTACTGAATAGAATATTGTGAAGGATATATAATTTCATATTTTCTTATATAATTTTATAATATTTAAATATATTTTTTTTGTATTATACCTCGTGCATCGCACGGGTATCAATACTATTTTAATAAGCAGGGGAAATCTTTGGATTAATTAATTTCATCAAGGTGCATAACTTATAATAAAATTAAAAATAGCGTAAGCAAATCACGAAATATTAATTAATTGAGACACCATTAGCTTTATGTAAAAAACTATATGAAACTCTCCCATGCAGTCATCTCCACTAATCTAATTATTAAGAGATTAATCATATAATAAGCTCTGGAAAATCCTTAACAAACTAGGAGAATTAGCCAGATAAATTTCAAAAACCCCAAGAAATAAATAAATAAAAATGATAATTTTACATGATAATTATAATGAAAAGCCAAAAGCAATTACAATTTACAACCATTACAACACGTACGGCTCTAAATTATTGACTAGTACGTACCCCGTGCGATGCACGAGACAAAGATATTAAATGAGTTATTTTAACAGCCTTGTCCGTTTAAGTCTAAAAAGTAATAATGTTATTATCTATATTTTACCTCTTTTAATCAACGTTAAGTCTAAAAACTTATTAAGCCACCCTCTTGCAAATATGTATGGAGTTATGTGTTCGTGTCTCATAAGTCACAAACATTATAAATAACATTACAAATTATTTATTCAAACTTCTATTCATTGCAAATATATTAAAATAGTTTATATAACAGCCATTAAATACCACTTTCGATATATTTATAAATAAAGAGTACATAAAATTTCTGGTGTGTTCAAATTTAAATAATTTTTTATGGGCTCAATTTTAAATCATCCAGACATTTGGTCAAACGCATAGGTGCGGTCAAATTTAAATAATTGGCATTTTGGTCTGTTGAAATTTAAATCATCTACCATGATACTGTAATGTGTATTATATATATATATATATATACAATTTTATAACAAATAATATGTACTTTATAAAAATAATAATAATAATAATTTAACAAGATTTTATCACACGATATATAGCTTTATTTGCGGTCATTTCGACGGCCATAAAACATCTTTGCTTGATTTGCATGCAGTCTAATCTATGGATATTGATTTGATTCCCATGATTTAAAAAAAGTATATAGTATATAGGGACTTCATTTATTCCTTATGTTTCTCACACTACAATTTTTTTTTTTTTTTTTTTTTT